TACTTTTTACTAGCCTGATAAATCAGACTAAATGTGAGATTAAATGTGTAATTTAGTCTGGCTCCGATGAATGAGACATCGGAAGATTGTTGATGAGAACAACCAGTTGTTTTTAAAACCATGTCTGTGCCTATTGGCCAACGCTCTGACCAATGAGTGCAACTGACTGTGACGTAGTAAGTGAGACAGCCTGTTGGTAAAACGGAGAATACGACCTTCTTAAAAATGAATGAGCGTAGAGCCTCTTCCTGCTCACGTTTCAATGAAAACTCCAAGTTTAATCCTTCTAAAACCGATTCCAAAGCTGAGTCAAACCAGAACTGTTTGTTACCATCTTCCTTGTTGTGCTTTCTCCTGCGTCGTGCAGCTTTGACGTCCTTAAAACCCCGCATCCACAAATTCAAAACACATCTCTGCGTTCTGTTTTGTCCGCCATTTCTAGGGCCTGGGGCATTGATCGAGGCTAGACCACTCACAGACCGCTGGCGGGTGGGGCTAGTTTACCAGGCTAACTTTTTACAGCTGAATTTATGAGTTTTTCTTGAGTTCTAATTCAAATTTTATAGATATATACACAATATATATTAATTATTATTATTATAAAGTAAATTTAACTTAAGTCAAAAATATGTCAAATTCCCAAATTATGAAGTATATATTGCTCTAATAGGACATAGAATATCAATTATACCTAATTGAATAGAAAATTCACTTCATGCAGCTATATTAATATATTTGAATCCCTTGCCCTTTTTTTATTTCATGCTTTTCTGTTCCCCAATGAAAACACGCTGCCCCCCGCAGCGATTTTATTTCACTAGTGTTTGTCAAATAAAATGTTAAAATACACTTTCCCACACGTAAGTGTAAAGCAGGGGGGATTTGCCATTAGTCTATTCTATTAACATTTTTTCTGTAGAATGGGTCTGTTTTATGTGTTGTCTTCTCCATTCAGAGGGCCCCCTTCATGTGTTTGCCTAGGGCCCCAAATTTCCTAAATCCACCCCTGCCGTGAAGTACTAGAGTTAATGTTGAACAGGTGGCACTGAGGGAGATTTAAGGCAAATTTCCATTACTCTCATATTTTAACCAACAGGTTAAATCAACAAGGTCAGCTCCTAATGATTAACATAAATAAGTCACTTTGCTTCGTCATCCACAGGATGATGTCGGCCTGTTTAATATTTTAGCAAGTCAAATGATCAGGAGTCACAGCCTTTCTTCCTCCCCTCCTTTCTTTCATCGTTCTCGCTTCTGATTGGACGCCGTGACCAAGCGCTGTACCAACGTCCAATCAGATCCCTGTATTGCTTTTTCTCCTCCTCATCTGGAACGCCCTTTTAAATGACGTCACGTCCAGCTCCGGCTGAAGGCAGTGGGGTTGAGGAGGCGGGGGTCGTCCATTGCGGTAAAAATAGTAAAGATAAAAACACCGGAGAGCGCGAGCCAGCGGCTAAGCTAACACCTCTGCGGTTACACTAAATATTGGAGCCATTTTGTTCGAAGGTAAGAAGTTATATTTGTTCGGTTGATTTTATCATTTATTAGCCTTTTTTTCAAACCGTTGTTCTGAGTTCTGGCCTAAGATGCGACATTTTTTAATATTAACAGTTTAAAAACTGACATTAGCTATTAGATACGACTAAAGCCAACATGGACATCTTAAATAAACTTATTTTTAAGTCAAATTAATGTTAAGGGGAGACAAAAAAAAAAATTAATAATAATAATTTTTGTTTTTGTTGTTTATTCGTATAATTTGTTTTTCTCTGTGTGTTTGTGTATTAAATGTGCGATGATTCCTCCTAATTAGCTCCATGGGGCTGTTTTCATGTCCCTGGAGAATTGATATAAAAATAAAAGAAGGCCTGCTAGGTTACAGAAGCCCCTCACGTGAGTGGAAATGTCTGCTTTCGATGTTAAAGGTTATTCTCTAATGAGCAGCATGGGCCTGTTTACACCAGTTTCAGTAAAATCTATTGGATATATTGAAGAGGAGCTTAAATAAACCCCTAAATGAACTTTCCTCCTCCTGTGACTTGGTGACATCATCATGATGATGATGATCCTGTTGTGGAAATATGGAGGAAACTAACCCACTGAAATCTGCTCTTTAGTCTGGAAACAACACAAACTATCCAACTAATGAGGAACTAATCAATCATTGAGATACTACTATAAACCAGTAATACTTTATTTTAGTCAAAAGTTTTGACTGTTTACTTCATTTGTCCAGATTCTTGCGTTGAAGCGTTTTAATAGAGCGAAGAGAAACAAGAGAAAAAGAGTGACTCTGTTGACATAGATCCTCATTGGTGTCAGGTATGAGGGCTAAGGACCCCGCCTCAGCGTTTAGCTGTAACCCAACACCACCTTACATCAGAGGACTATCAGTGTTTTTGTGTTTGGTTTTCTATTGTAGACACGTTTGCCTGTCGAGCAGAAAACGCACGAACGTTTCTAGATCTGCGTAAATTAGATCTTGGATCCCAGCCTTGTGTAATTCTGTCTTTCTTAAAAAGTTATCTAAGATCTTGCTTTGGTAACAGTCAGGTTTTGTCATCATTCTTATCAGTGACTGAAATGTCTAAACTAAGCTTTTCTGGTTAATAGCGTCACGTTTCATGTTCTTGTTGCTGCACATTGAATATCAGCTGGTTGAAAGAAGGCTTCTACGCCTTTCCCTTGTAAAGTCCTGGTTATCCTCCTGCAGCAGTGTGTCGCTGTGAGCTTGATGAAGATATTTTTGATTTCTGCCCAACATTGAAGCGTGGTCTGCGCTATATTATTCCACGCCACAATGCCAGAGGGCCAATCAGGAACTAGCTGTGTGTCTAGATACGGCCGAGGCGGTGAGGAAGTGGGGGCAAGTTTGTGCGACAACGGAGGGAGATGAGGGCCAAAAAGAGCGGGGATCCAGGTGGTAAAAGGGTCCCAGCGTTCTGGCGCACCTCGCTCTGCTAGCTGGTCCATCTTCACCAGTCGTTTTCCACATTGGCGGTCAGACAAACAAAACAAGCCGCTAAGGAGCCAAACAAGAAATTTGCATAGAGAACAGCGGATGTAGATTTGACCAATCTTCCTTTGGTAACAATCAGGTTTTGTCATCATTCTTGTTGGTGACTGAAATGTCTAAACTAAGCTTTTCTGGTTAATGGTTAATGTTGCACCGATACCGATACCAGTATCGGGTGGGACCCCGATCCAGAACTAAAATGGTGGGATCTGTATCGGCGAGTACCAACAAATAGGGCACCGATACCATTATGAGAGCCAAAAATGTATTCAGCTATTGTCAACCTTTGCAGGTAGGTATTAGTATTTGTTTTAGTCTTTTTCCTGCTTCCCAAAGGTAGGCAGCAGCTTGACATGAAGCCATGATGGTAATTATTTTACATCCAGGTAGTCTGCAGTTCTTCATATACACACACACATCGATTTCAAACAGATGGTATCGGCCAATACCGCACAGCCGGGTATCGGGGCCAAAAACAATCCGGAGTTAAAGTTGCATCAGCCAAAAAAATCATTATGAAGACAAAAAATCCCATATATATGTTGCACCAGACTAAAAGTCGCACCATTTTGAAAGGTTATTCTATCCATGGAATCTGTTTTCTGATAACTGGCGCGAGGTAAGCTACTGCTCAAAGACCGCATTGTTTTATTACATGAACGAGCATCTGATAAGCAGTGATAATCATTCAGACCTTCAGCTTTTCCTCTGCTTTTCTCCCGTCCCTAACAAGTTTTTCACTGCATCCAAACTGTCGTTCAGCTGCCATGTTGCCATTTTTGACTGCATATTTAGCTTTAATTCTGCAGCATATGAATTTCTTTTGGGTAGCATATTTCTATTCAGTTGTCATTGTTGTAATGCTAATTTGTTTTGTTGTGGTAAGTTGTAACGTTTTTTTCTTTCAGTGGTATTAATAGAATACATGTTGTTGTGTGCCAAGCTATATAGCGCCCTCTCGTGGTGAAATTAAACGGATATATGTCTCGCCACAGTATAAGTCGCGTGGCCAACCTAACCACGGAGTAACTGTGCGACTTGTAGTCCAAAAAATACGGTAGCGTCACGTTTCATGTTCTTCTTGCTGCACATTGCTTTCCAGCTGGTTGAAAGAAGCTTCTAAGCCTTTCCCTTGGAAGATGAGCAAGTATAGCTGTGTGGTTGTAACAGTCGCAGTTTGGAAGACAGAGGAGTGCCGCCAAACGTTATTGTTCAAGATAATTGTGTCTTATAAATTATTGGAAAGCTCTTAGAAGAATGTCTCTTCCTAGACAGGTAGCCTAACTCATTGAAATACTGATACGATTGTTTTGGTGTTTACCTATAAAAACATTGGAAATAGTTTTATTCACAATGCACAGAAATAAAGTTGCATTTAGCTGTTTTTGTAGAGATGTTTTCTGTCGACAGGAAAGATTTGCTGACTGGTTTAATTGATGCTCACCTCCAGGTTTGACTTATTAGTATAACTTTACCGTGGTCGGTGTTTCTGGAGGCTTTTAACTGTTTTAGTATTGCTTTTTAAAGTATATTTTCTAATTAAAAAAGTCAATATATAACATGGATGCATTAAAACCTCATTTTATTTCAGTGTTAATTTCTGTTTAAAGTAACTGATTATAATTAAAAATATCTCCTTTACTGCTTGATGATAGTTTTTTATTTTTCAATTTCATAGTCGAGGTCCCTTCTGTTTCTAATATATATGAATAAAGGTTGATGTCAGAAAAGGACTGAGAAAATACTGTTGGATATTTTCATAACATATTTTAAAAGAAAAAGCAAATTAAAGAGGGATAATATCAGAGCTCTGTTATCGACCACTACACTGTTTTGTAAACTATTCTGCTTTTCTAATCCCGTTGAGGATTTTAGTCTTAGATCTTTGTATAAACTACAAAAACACTGAGATAAACTTGTAGCCTTATCAGCTTTCCTCGCACTGAGAATCTCAAAACCTTGTTATAGATTTTAAAGGGCAGCATCTAAAGAAACTTGGTGCTACCTCCACCTCTGTTTTCCATGACATCAGTCCATTTTTTCCAAACTATAATGTGCTCAATAGATAAGTATAATATCTACCAACTATCTTCACCTTACGTGGATCATTTTCCCAACAGCTGCAATAAAAGTTGATGCTGATAACATGTAACAAAGCACTTATAAATTAGCTAGAAACGTACTTTGAACCAAATAATCGGCTGTCAGACAAAGGAATCACTGATTTCTTTCTGTGTCCTTTATTCATGAAACTCTTTACACAAAAAAAAGGTGGATAGGATAACCTAAAGGACGTGTTTACGGTGTACATACAACAGGACGGATAAACCCCAGGAGGACTGGCGGAGATTCAGTTCCCCGTCTAGCCTCAATTTTCCATTGTTGTTGTTGGACATGAATGAGGTGAAGGCGGCATGGTGGCTTATGATGGGGCATTAGCTGGTAGTTACGAAATCCACTTCCCTTCAGTAAGATCTTAAATAGAATAGACAGCCATACCTTACTCAGTGTGGACTAGACTTTAAAAACGACTTTGGTTCATGAGTTTTCTTCTGGATTTACACAATGTTTCACACATCAGTTCATCTTTCATATCTGTGCTTTAAAGGAGGAAAATGAGGTGTGAAACGCAACCATGGGAGGCCTCTATGGTCACAACAGTCATTTCTATTCCCCTTGGTTCATTTCATCAGCCTCATTTTGTACACTGAGGTCTTTGTGAAACATAAGATAATGGTACTTATCTCTGGTAGGTTCGTGATTGACCACTGAGTCGTAAGATGCCTTCTGCAGTCATAAAAAAACAATCTGTGGGATTGTTCTTTGCTATATGGTATGGTTTTCCCCTTTCTCTGCAGGAATGAACTGGTGGGAGAGGTGTAGGGTTAAGCTAGTTGGTTATAAAAATGTATCTTATCTTGCCTCGGGAGAATTCATTACCTAATGTGTCTCTGGTGGGTTACCTAACCACCGGATAGGAATAAGGGCAGCAGAGACGGAGTTAATGCTGCTTCTGTTTGCTTTTGTTTCATTGTTTGTTGTAAAGTTGGTTCTAAATTTATGTGTAAACAAAAGCCATTCTCACATTCTTATGTATAAATGCATAAATTTGTATCTAGGGCTGACACAGTTAATTGGATTAATCTTTATTATTTGATTATTGGTATAATCATTAACTAATTTAGTACAGCTGATATTTCAAACAGCAACAGACCAGATGAAGCTACTATGAGAAAAAAGCAGAGAGAGCAGAACGTTAGAGATTGAACTAACAGATTCTGCAGAGTGGGAGAATAGAGATAGAATGAAGCAGAATGATGGAAAAGGGGTCCCTATGTCCTCCAGCAGTCTAAGCCTATAGCAGCAGAACTATAGAGATAGCTCAGGATAACCTGAGCCACTCTAACTAGAAGCTTTATCTAAAAAGGTTTCTAGATGTTGGAGATTGGCCTGTTTTCCAGTGTAGTCCTGTTTCTCTGACTGTGACTAACTGGATGTGCTCTCTTCATCCTCTGACATGGGAGCTGGCTCGGAGCTCGTCTGCCTGGCTGTGTGTTTCCTGGACGGGGCCGTCTGTGGAGCTGGTTGACAGCCGCCTTTTGTATCTAGCTTCTTTTTCTATCTCTGCTTCTCTGTCCTTGAACCCCAGTGGGCCTCAGCAGATGGCCGCTCACACTGAGCCTGGTTCTGCTGGAGGTTTCTACCTGTTTTTTTTTTGTTTTTTTTCCCCATAAAATCATCACTGTTAAGAGCAGTTCAACGGAGCTATGGCCCTGGATGAGTTTGGCAACTGGATTAAAAAGAAGTCTAGGATTATTCTCATTCACCTCAAATAATGTGGAGAAATATGCTGCTCTTGCTTTAAGAAGGGTCATCTATACAGTAGTAAACTATTTCTCCGGACTAGATAGGATGCCTGTAAGGATGTAGAGTGCCATTTTCTAACAGTAACAGTAGAGAAGCTGCAGAGAGGTGTGTTAAACTACAACTCTGCTTCCTGGTCTGCACCCTGGGGGGTCAGGGTTTTGGAGGACTAATAAATGTGGCCAGATTCCTAGAAAGAAGAGCTGCACCATCCAAAGTGGGATGGATGCCGTCTCTCCAAATCACACCAGGCTTCCCCAAAATGATTGCCAATTAATAATGTAGCCCAAGCAACACCATCTAGGCAGTCAGCGGTTGAATGACGACATGCGGCTAAACATGTCATCACTGGTCAGATCAGGGAGGGGACCAGAGAAAATTACCGAGTATGGCATTGTTTTGGTAAACGACTATATCTCGGCTTTCAAGCATGTAAAGAATGTTGTCTGTTTCTTTCCTCTTTACTTTGTTTTCCTACATGGTAAAAAGTCCCATTGGTCTGACTATCACTCCTTTGTGTTTCTTATTCCAAAGTGACTCGCCACATCGAAGATGAATTTTGAGCAGCCCCCTCCATACCCAGGCGGTGGTCCAACTGCCCCAGGTTACCCAGGCCAAGGACCACCACAAGGCTACCCACCCCAAGGTTATCCTCCTCAAGGATTCCCAGTTAACACAGACCAGCCCAACCCAGCTTACCCCAACTACCCTGCTGGACCAATGGGCCCTGGAGGCCCCTACCCTGGCCCAGGACAGCCCCCATTCCAGGGATATCCTGGACAGCCACAGTATGCCTGGCAGGGGGGAGGCCCTCCTGGACCCATGTACGGGGAGGCTCCAAAAAACACAGGTGAGTAGTGTGTTCACCGTCTTATGGCGTAAATATGGGATTTAT